AGGTTTGATGCAAAGACTGTTCAGATTGTTAGAGGACTTGGTCGTACCATAGCCAAAGATGGCATCAGGGATATACCAGAACCAACTTGAACTGGGTTTTGGAAGTTTATTGCTAAATTTTCAGTGTTACCATTTACACATCAGAAATTAGCAAATGCTACAGATCAGGGCTTCATTTATTGCTTTACTGATTTTCTAGACTTAAAAAAGTAACGGAGAAAATATTAATAATTCAGATTAAGCTTGAAATTATGTTTCCAGAGACCCAACTGATAAACATTTGCCAACACGCTCTTGGGTGGCATGCTTATCAAACTGGGAAATGGCTCAAATATGGGAGGGATCGTTTGATGGAGTGAGCACGTGAGATGTCTAAAACATGGGAGCCTCGTTATGGCATGGGGAGCGGAGCTCCAGCCAGGGCCTTGACTCTGACCTTGGTATCTCCCCTCCCACTCCTGGCACAGGAATTGCTAGAGAAATTTGGCAGTTCAAAGGATTTGGGGGTTCCTAATAACACCCCAGAACAGCCGATGCTGTGTCTGCATTACACTGGAAACCACAAGGAAAATAAGTACCCCAAAGAAAGGCAGCTTCCAGGCTGCCAAGAGTCCTAGAGAAAAGCTGCCCTTGCCCAGGTGGCACATCATGATCAGCATGCCAGGCAGGGAGGAAGGACTTCCCCAAGCAGGAGCTGTGTGCCATTGCCTTTCACCACGTGAGCTCCAAGCCTGAGCTCACGCTCCTGCGACGTGGAAGCTGCATGTGCTGGTAGGAAAGTGAGTCATAGGGGCAGGGGCATTTGGGGACCAATTATACCACTGCAGCAAATGCCCATTGGTAAAAGCCAAGTCTGACAGGTTAATAGATATAAATCTACAGTCATGGGCGGGGGGGCTGGAAATACAGCCCCTCAACCATTCTAGGTCCTCCTTTGGTCCCAGAAGGAACAAACAGCCCCTGAATTCTGATGACCTAGCCTGCCAAAGTCAGCTGGCAGGGGTTGGGATAGTGAGCCCAGAGCGTGTGAGGCACAAATCACCCAGGAGGAAAAGGAGTGAGCTTTCAAGCTTCCTGAAGCTGCCACGTTCTCGAGCAGCAAGGATGCTCAGTTCCAGCCTCTGATGGACGAGGTGGAAAAGGCAAGGAAGGTGGGGGCAGGATTCCCTGTGGAACCTTTGGGCACAGCCTGCCTATCTCCCCTGGGGAGAGTGTGCTCCCAGCTTTTAACCAATACTTCTGCTTCTCCCTTCTTTCCTTCCCAGCTCAAGCAGGAAATTAATCTCTGGACTCACATTTTCATAAATGATTTGGATGAAGGCATAGATGCCTTGCTTATCAGACTTGCAAATGGCTTGAGGCTGGGAGGTGGAGCTAACACGTGAGCTGAGAGAGTGAGCAGTCAGAAATATCTTAACAGCTTAGAACAAAGGGACCTGCAAAATGGCATGGATTCTGACAGTGACTGGGGTGAAACCTTATGTTTGGGCTCAAAATATCAAACATACACACACACTCTCTCTCTCATAACTTAAACTGGGTCGTACTTTAAGGTTTACCAAAATAAAATAAAATAAAACGAAACACTTCCCATGTGATCCTCACCATGACCCTGACAGGCAGATACTGTAGTTCTCCATTTTTCAGATGGGGAAACTGAGGCTCTGAGAGCTTACATGTCCTGCTTATCGTCTCCTAACTATTAAGAACCTGAGGTATGATTCAAACCTAGATTATCCATATCCCAAATCTTGTGTTCTGGCCACTCTGCCATATGTAAACAGCTAAGTAGATAAGGACAACTGCAATAATAATGATGTTGAGAACAGCTAACGTTTATACAGCACCAATATGTGCCAGGGACTGTGCTAAGCATGTTACAATTATTATATCATTTCATCCTGACAACAATCCTGGGAGGGAGGTACGTTGTGATCCCCATTTTACAGATGAGGAGACTGAGGTAGGCAGAGGTTAACTGACTTGCCCAAGGCCAGATTTGAACTCAAGTCTTCCTGATTCAAGGTATGGCACTCAGCTCACTAGGGTACCCCCTAGCTACTTGTAGACTACAGTTTCTGTGAAAAAGGGAGGTTTTCACGCATCATAAATTCAATAGGTCAGCAATGTGATACGGCAGCCACTGAAGCCAACAGGATCTTGGCCTACTTTAAGAGAGGCAGAGTGCCTCATGGGAAGGAGCTGTCTGCTCCCTTGCTTGGCCTTGCTCAGCTCACTCCTGGAATGGTGCGTCTGTTTCTGGACGCCATATTCTACAAAAGTCCATTGACTGGAGCAGAACAGAAGGTAACTAGGCTAGAGAAGATCCTCGAGATTCTACCTTTTCAAGATTGATCAAAGGATATGGAGTCCTTTAGTCTGGAGACAAGAAGGAAAAAGAAAATGAGGTAGAATGGCTAGACTCGGCAGAGAGGGAGACTTCATCTGGGAGAAGGGACCAGTGTCTTCCTGGTCAGAGCCATCCCAAAAGGAGTGGGCTTCCATGGGAGGGGGTGGGCTCGCTTTCGTCGGGCGTCGTGAAGCACAGATTGGGTGGGAACCCTCCCATTGGGTGTCCTCTCTGCTGAGGGGGATGAGGTTGGGCTAGCTATCAGGGTGGCCAGCTCCGGCTTCTCTCCTTTCTGGAGCCACAGCCTGCTGTCTTCTGTGCCAAGGCCCGAACCTTTTGTCTGGTTGCTCAGAGAGCTCTGCCAGGTTGTTGCGGCCTTGTAGACAAGCTCCTTCAAACCTCCTTTAGGCTTTCTGAGCCTTCTGTGACCCTGTTGACTCAAGTGGGGAAGCGGGGCATGGGGGGAACACCCTCCCTTCAACACAATTTAGTTCTTTTAAAATGACTCCTGCATAATTGAAATGGTATTTTTCACAATAACCTAAAAATATCAAGCACAGATTTTTTTTCCCCTATAAAGAGGATTGGGATGGGTTATAATTAATACCTCTCAGAGTCCTAATGAGGACTGACTGAGCATGAGACAACACAGACTCCCCCGGCTTTAGAGAAGAAAGAGAGAAAGAAGGAGCAGAATGTCTCCTAGCCGGCTCCTTAGCCTCCCTCCCCAAGGGCGAGACAATGCCGAGCCCTGCTGGACGTTCTTATGACAGAAGGATTCAGACAAGGACATCTGGCTCCATCCTGTAAATGTAAACCCAACTCTCCAAGTTCAGCCCAGAGGACCCAAGGGGAACCACAAAATGGAATCAAGCAGTAACGGCCCCAATTTACCATAGAATGTTATTTGTCTGGACCTATGACTCAACTGTTACAGGGAATTACAGGGTGGGGATAAGGAGACTGAGCCAAACAGGGTTAAATGACTTGCCCAAGGTCACACAGGTCGTAAGTGTCCGAGGTCAGATTTGAATTCAATATAAGTATGTGGATACGTGTGTACATGTATACATTTATGCCTACATAGATATTATATGAGTGATAGACATAAATATGAGTAATTTCAAAAGGGTGCTTACTAAGATGTCAGGAAAAAGAATAAAATTCAAAAACATTATGAGTTCTGTCTAAAATCCATTATCTTTATACCCTGAATAGGTCAGGATTTATAAGATTATATAAGGCAGGGGTTAATTTTGATTAAGGATCATTGCTTTAGAGGTGGAAGGAATGGGAAAGCTCATCTATTCTAAATCTTCATGTAACTCATGCTAATTAATAATAATATTAACAAGCATTTATATAGTTCTTTAAGGTTTACAAAAGGTCATACAAATATCTCATTTTATCCTTGCAACAACCTGGAGATGTAGTTATCTCCATTTTACAGATGAGGACACTGGGGCAGATGAAGGTTAATTGACTTGCCCAAGGTCACATAAGTAGTAAGTAGTCTATTTGAGATTTGAACCCTGGTGCTCTGACTCCGAATTCTGTACTGCATTGACAGAAGCACTATTGCTTCCTAAGAGGTCTGAGTGAGAAAGGAAGGATGTAGAAGATTCCACTAATAAAACTTTTGCCTTTGTGCCCCTCCCCAAGAGAGAACTCTTTCTCCCTTCTCCTTCCCCAGAAGATGGCCCTAGGGAGCTTCCGGCAGCCTTCGAAAGGGACCTAAAGCTCAAGTTTCTTGATGTCTTGCGGTCAGGGGCCTCCCTTGGCATTTTCCAGCAGCATCCATCAGACCTTCGGCCTCCCAAGTCAATACTAGCTTGTCTCTGGCCTATTTAAAAAGCCCTCCAACTTCAGGCAGATAACAGAGCCTTTGGTCTCGGAAGGGGATCGATCACTCATGTCATATCTATATAGGCATAAATGTGTACGTGGACACACATATCCACATACTTACTATGTTTAAACGTGGGCAGCATGACAGGCAGAGCAGCCTAGTGGTAGAGAGCCAGCCTTAGGTTCCAGCACCTCAAGGTCTTGTGACCTTGGGCAAATCATTTCAAAGCATTGTTCTCAGACTCTGAGTTGCAGAGCAGATCCCCATCGGCATTGGTAAGGGGAATTTCCTTCCCAAGGAGTTTCCTCCCCTGAAGAAATGGCAATTCTAGACTGTGTGTGTGCAGTTTCTATGTCTTGGGAAAAACACGTTCCCCTTTTCTAACATTTACTGTTCACCTCACACTCCCTTGAAGAGTTTCAGTGCTTACTTGGTGCCTGGCATGGTGCCAACACTGGGGATAGAAAGAAAGGTAAACACAATGTGCCTGCCCTCAGGGAGCTGGAGACCGAGTGTAAGCGTGCATGTGTGATGTATACAATGTAAACAGAGGACAACGTCAAAAAGAAAGGAGTAGATGCAGAAGCAGATGGTGACAGAGACATAAGCCTGCTTAGAGGTACAGGTGACTCACCTCTGCTCACATCTCCAATCCGATTTCTGTATGCAGAAAGGTAGCAACGAGGAGGGAAAAGAAGTGTTTCTGCAGTTTAGTAATAGGTTTCTCTTCTATAATTTTCCAAATGAAAGACAATATATTGAAAGATTAAATATGTGATCATCTGTAAAATCTCTTTGCAGCTCTGATGAAGCCTTCAGCAAAGTCAATTTAAATTACCGCACCGAAAATGGGCTGTCTTTACTTCATCTGGGTTGCATTTGTGGGGGTGAGTACCTCGAGCGCTGCTCTCCCATTTCTCAGTGATCGCTCCCTCAGCGCTGACCCGACCACGAGCCCGTTCTAGTCCCATCCCTCTTGTGCCTGGCTTTGTCCCTTCAGACTCCAGTGACATTTAGTTGTGGTGCAAACCAATAGACCAATAGTCCGCTTGATTTAGTTCTGAGTGGAAGAAGCCATGTGTCCCAAACCTGTGATTATCTGAAAACTAAAGGACGGGTTTTTTTCTTTTTTTTTTCCTCCCCAGAATTGTGCCTGCCAGTCAAGGAAAAGGCAGATCTTAAACTCAGAGACACTTTAAGTCTTACCCAAAATGTTGTCATGCAGTCAATCAGCAAACATTTATTAATGGTCTACCCTGTGCCAGGAATCTTAATAAGGACAGCGAGAGCAAAGGAAAGCAAGAGCAGTCCTTGCCTTCTGGGAGCTTGCTCTAATGGCAGGGCACCAGACATAAATAAACCACTCTAGGACGGAGAGAGAAGGGGCAGGAGCAAATCTTAGAGCGAAGGCTGCACCCTAAACCATTAGAACAGGTTCTAATAGCCTGGGGCTGCAAAGAAAGGAGAGAAACAAACAGCCCCCTCCCCTCTTCCAAAGATTCCTTCCTGGAGTCACTTGGGAATGTGAGCTGGCTCTTTTCTGACCCTCCCCCTCCTCCACACACACACACACACACCCACCCACCACTCTGTCCCTCCTCCACACACACACACACACACACCCACCTACCACTCTGTCCCTCCTCCACACACACACACACCACTCTGTCCCTCCTCCACACATGCACACGCACACACACATACACACACACACCACTCTGTCCCTCCTCCACACACACACACACACAGACACACCACTCTGTTCCTCCTCCACACACACACACACACACACACACCACTCTGTCCCTCCTCCACACACACACACACGCGCACACACACACACACACACGCACACGCACACGCACACACCGCTCTGTCATTCTGCTCCCTGGCCTGGCCATTTTCTCTGACTGTCCGCCATGCCAGCAATCCTTCCCTTCCTCATTCCCACCTCTGGGCTGCCCCGCCTTCCTCCGGGTCCCAGCTAAAATCTCACTTTCTACAGGAAACCTTTCTCCCCCCTCCTCACTTCTAGTGCCTTTGCTCCGAGATCCTCTCTGGTTCCTCCTGCCTGTGTCTTGCTTGTGCATTGCTTTTTGCGGGTTGTCTCCCTGAGTAGACTGTGAGCTCCTTGAGGACAGGCACTGTCATTTGCCCTTCTTTGCATCCCCCAGACTTAGCCCAGTACCTGGCTTAGTAAGTGCCCAATACATGCTTGTTGATTGACCAAGTAATCTTGTTGCCCTATCTGACAATACTCCCCACCTTAGGCCACACCCCCTCCTTTTGATTGTGTCCTCCGACCTCTTCCCCAAGGCGACACTTGGGCAGCTGGATGGGGAAGAAGGCAGCATAATAGAAGAGCAGTAGGGAAATCAAAATGGAAAGATGGAAAGGTGTGGTAGGCACTTTTAGAACATTTTACGCCTATGCGGAAGGTAGGGAGAAAATGAGAGCCACTGAGAGAAGAAGTAGAACAAGACCGTCCCTTCGTGGTGCCCTCCTCCTTCCCTCCCCCCAGTTCTCTGCCTCTGACCTGGGACCTGCCCTACTGACTGACTTCTACCACAAGCCCTGGTGCCTTCAGTAATGTGTGTACTCATACCTAGTTGGTGGATTGATAGAGGTTCTAGGAAGGAGAGTGGAAGCTCTTTGTGTTTCAGACGGTGGAGATGTGTGATGGAGACGCCTGGATCACGGGGACCTGACTTTGGCCCTCCTCCCCGTGATCTCCCCAGCAACACTCGCCAGCGTGTCCTAGGTCTGTTTTCTCCTTTCCCTAAATTAAGATAAACCTGATCAACCATGGATGAGGAGGCCAAGTGCATAAAAGCACCCAAGAAGGGGCCTTTCAAACCTGAGGACTTGCTCCATTTAAGGGAGCCAGGGCTGATAGGACCTAAAAAGAAGATGGCTGACTTCCACGCCATGAACATTTATTGCGCATCTAACTCATATTTAGCCTTCTGTATTTAATCAGCCTGCTTCCGTTTTCTCATCCAAGGCAACAAGTCCCACGTGAGAAGCCTCATGTTAAAAGGGCTGCGCCCATCTCGCCTGACAAGAAACGGATTTACAGCTCTGCACTTGGCCGTTTACGTGGTAAGTTGTGTTCATGTCTATTCATGATACACAGGGAGCCCGAGGGGCGGGCACGCAATGAGCCATCCCTTTCTGGTCTACCGCAGGCCTGGGGAAGGCGCACTGTCCCCTAATCCTCTAGTGCAGAGAGAGCCCGGGAGACTTGGGTTCATCCGAGCCCTTGTATTCAGCCACAGTCATAACCTGGGGGCTGTGTTGTCATCCTGAAGTTCCGGGCACCCCGTTCTCTTCACATTCAGGGTGCTCTTTTCCCTTCAGCTCCCCATGAAGCTGCACTTCTAGAGCTCCCGAAATTCCCCCAATTCCCTTGGTCTGGAAACTTGCCTCAAGAGGGTCCTGTGGAAGGAGGTGTAGTGGGCCCTGATTACCCAGAGACTGGGGAAGGAGCCACCGTTCTTAGAGCCCAGGCTGGCAGAGGGACCTACATTCAGAGCTAGAAAGGGCCTCATGGTGAGCCAGAAGAGAAAACTGAAGCCCCAGATCTGAAGTTACTTTCTCGAGGTCACAGAGGCAGAAGGTGGCAGAGTGCCTGCGTGGGAGGGAATTAGAGTGGATAAGGCTGGAGAGGCAGGCCGGGGGCAGACTGTATTTTTGGAAAGCCATGAATGACAGGTAAAGGAATTCACCCTTCCCTCGGTAGAGGGTAGGAAGTCTCTGAAGATCTTGGATGAGGACTTTACACGTGGAAGGACCGCTGGCCTGTCGATGCTATGAAGGGACAGCGATGAGGAAAGGGGAAGCCCTTTTAGGGGGCGAGTGTGCCCGTCTAGGCAGCTGGAACTGAGGGGGGCGGCAGTGGAAAAGAGAGGAGAGGCTGGCTCTGGGTGATGGGGCAGAAATGGGATGGACCCTGGAATGGGGGGCGGTCCGGGAGGGAGGGGAAGAGGAGCGGGGCGCCCTCACAGATGACGTGCCAGGTTTGGACTCCGGAAAGTAAGTGCTCGATGTTGTCACTGTTGGAAACAGAGAAGTCAGAAAGGGGAGCAGAGAACTGGGGGACGTTCTGTTTGGGACGTGGAAGTCGGAGCTGACGATGGGGTGTCACAGGTCCGACCCCCGGGGCTGAACCCTGTGAACAGCAGTTCCCCCGATGGGGGAATGCTTCATTTTAGCCCTGCCCCAGGCACGGGCTCACCCCTTTCCAAGCAAAGACAACATCCAGAAGGTTTACCTTTCCTGCAGATGCCATCTGATGTCGTACCCTGGTGTGCCGGGGTCTGTTGCTTCCTAAATCATTTCTGGGAGGAGCTGGGATTATGCTTAGCATCGTCTAGAAGCTAGCAAGAAGTCCGCCTACCTGACCCTTAAGCATTGGCCATTTCCCTCCAAAGTGATGGATACCAAATGGGGACCATGAAGCCCATGGCTATTATTACTCAGAAGGCATGAGTCCAACATGGGAAGGGACAAAAAAGAAGTGTCAGTCAGGGCTTATCAAGTGCTTTCCGTAGGCCAGGTTTGTGCCCCAAGTCTGATAGCAGACAGTGCAGATGGAGGGTGATTACAGAGGAAAGCGGAGGCCGGGGGCGTGTAGCCTGGGAGAAGCTGCTGGGAGATGGCAGGACTGGGATGAGTGTTGAAGGCAGGCACGGAATGGAGGAGGTGGAGGCGAAGAGGGGCAGCATTCCTGGTTAGATTACAGCCAGTGCAAATGCTTGGGGTCTGGAGATGACGTGGAAAATCAGGGGAGGAGCAGCTCCTGAAGGAGACTATGTCAGCTGCCCGGTCCCTGTAGGGGAGTAAGGCATGAAAAGACCTAGGAAAGGCCTGGGGGAGTCAGTCCACGGCTCTAGTCCAGGGAACTCGAGAGGCCTCGTGCCCTACCCCCTGCTTTCACATGAAGCCACGCTTGCGCTGCCGAGATGGAGGAGAAGTTATCCCATCCATCCACCAGACGACTTTGCATTTCTGATGGATCGACTTCCTTAGAATTCTTGGAAACTGCTGCAGCAGCTTTTTCCTGCACATCTGTACTATTTTTCCTCCCTTTTCAGTATGCAAGGTTCAATTAATCAGTCTGGAGAGCGTACAGTCATCCCAAAACATTTGATTTATAAAGAAAATGTTCAAGTTTCCCCAAATCACTGGCCCTTTGGAGAACAGATCAGATAACTGACAGTCAGTCTTTTGTAGTATTTTGGAAAGCCTTGAATGGCAGGTAAAGGAATTGGAGGATTATTGTTTTTATAACTGAGACAGATACTGAGTTGGTGTATCATATTAATCAAGAGTGTAAGGCATTGATTATTGGATGGAAAAGAAAGAAAGGCTTTGAATCGCTAACTTTCCCCAAACCGCATCTTAAAAACAATACTTACCTTGGCTTCTCACTTAATTACCATTTCAGCCAATGTTGAATATTTGACCAGCAAATGGGAAGAGCTCATGACCAATCATATTTCATATTGAAAAATGGGAGCGGTTAATACGCAGCATTTAACATGGTTGTACTTACGTTGTACTGCCACCAGACGCCAGATAATTCGACTTTTCTATATATACCAACACATTTCCTATTACAAAGGAACTTTAGAGAATGGTGAATTAGTGTGTCACAAAGAATTTTCTAGGGGGAAGGGACCTCCCATCAAAGGCCACTTGGTCCAATGTGGGCCTGAACAGTCATTTTCTCCAAGATATTAGCCACACACTGGTCACCTCTTCTCTACTCAAAGATTTCCAGGGATGGAACACGATGACTACTTACCCCAGGATATGCCATTCGGTTTTCAGATTGCTCTAATTGTGAGGGCATTTCCTTTCATATATGGCCAAAATCTGCCTCTCTGAACTCCCTCCCTTTGCTCTGAGACAGTGAGGTACTTGTGCATAGGTGCTGAACTTGCAGTCTCATCCTTCTTGATCTCTAGGCATCCTCCTTCCTCCCAGATACTTACTCTTCTGTGATCTCTTTCATGTCACTGCTCCCTCCTGGTTCTCCCTCTAACTCTTTGAAGCTCTGCCTCAGTTTCCTTTGCCAGAACAACATCAATCTCTTCCCGTCTGACTTGGTGTCCCTCAAGGCATCATCCTGGGCCCTCCTCTTCTCTGTCTCTAGGCCTTGTCTTGGTGATTTCATCAACTACCATATATTCAATGATCATCATTTTGCAGATAATTATTATTGTTGTTATCATCATCATCATCATTATTATATGGCTCCCAAACCTATATATCTAATCACACATCACCAAATCTCCACTGGACATCTCACCAGGATGTTTGATGAACATCCCAAGAACAAAATATCTGATGGATGTGAAACATCCACAGTAATCAGAGCTCACTGGGTACGGGGGATACAAAGGCAAAAAAAAAAATGGAATAATCTCCGTCCTCAAAAACCATATTGTCTTCTGGGGGTTATGGGGCACGTACACGAGTACGAAGTCTATGAAAGACTTTGGCCAGCACCTTTATGGAATACACACATCCACATTTGATCACAGTATTCCACCTCATCAGTCAAGCTCATGGACGCGCCGTGACACTAGAGGAGGTCAGCTCAACACGACTTCTCCTTGATCAGATTCTCTTGGAGCCTGGTGGTCCCAACTTTCCTGTCTAAATACAGAAAATCCTTCATTTTAATAACATATTGAAGGATTTTTCCAGGAATCAAAGTCAGCTTCACTTTTCTAAAGCCTGAAAAATTCATTGTCTTTTATTTTTCAAAAAGGGGAACATCTGCCCACTTCTGCAATCCTTCACATTTCCTCCATAATCATATATAAGTTCATCAATTACATTGCAGCCAATAAATTAAAGCAATATTCATTAATTGCCCACTGTACTGGAAACTTAGAATACAAAGATGAAGAATACCACAACTGCTCCCTTCAAGACCCTGAGGCATCACTGGAGGCTATGACACAAAGTTTAAGTCAAGATGGAGCTGTGCTCTAGTGGGTGCGGTGCTGGAGTGGGAAGGACAAAATAAAATGAATTAGCCGGAGGAATCAAGGGAAGTTTCAGAGAGCAGAGGGCATCTGAGCTGGGCTTGGAGTAAGAGGAAGACGTCAACAGAGAAGTGGAGGGCATCGGGGGCGTCTAGGGATGGGCGAGGAGGGAAGTTTGGCCTTCCTGCATCCAAGAGATAGAAGGAAGCCTGAAGACGTGGGTACAAAAAGGGGGTGCGGGGATTCATCCGCTGGAATGTAGAGTTTGTGTAGGGGGGAGGTGAGGCTGGAAGGGAATTATGGAAGCAGAGAATTGATGAAAGTATGGAATTATGGAGACAGAGATTCAGGCAGAGTCCTTGTTTGGCAGCTTGTTGGAGGGGATCTGGCAGGTGTGGGTGACTTCCCATCATCCATGGCCCTCCCTATTCTTACATTCCATGATTCTGCGAGTAGAACAGAAAGGACCTTGGGGGTTCTCTGCTCACACCCTTGTTTTACAGATGAGACAACTGAGGTCCAGGAAGATAAAATGACTTGGCTGATGTCACCTGTGAGTGAACACGCGTGCGCACACACACACACACACATACACACACACACACACATAAACACAAACACATACAGAGTAAGTGGTAAAGCCTGGGTTCGAACCCAACGCCTCCACCTTCCGATCTAAAATGGGATGATAGTGGCACCCAACTCGCTGAGTTGTTGTGAAAGTCAAACGAAGCAATATCTGTCAAGCACTGAGCATGGTGCCTGGCACAGACTCGGAGCTCCATAAATGTTTGTTTCCTTTCTTTCAGTAGCTAACACAGAGTTCTATTCCACGTTTTCTACAATAAATCCTTCTTCTTCAAAGGTTCCCATGACTTCTCCTTTGGCAGCGAGCTCCTCTTTATTGGCCAGAGTTTGGCCCAGAACAGCCTCATTCCGTCCATATTAAATACGTACACCATTTTAGCCGGCCGTTCGGAGGCCCCAAGTGTTCTTCAAAGATGACCCCGTGCTACCACTAGATGACGGTGTGGCAGGGGTCCTGCACGTCCTGTCTGTCCCCTTAGAGATGAAGACGGTGAGGCTGAGAGGAGTCCGTCT